CTGGAATGCCCTAATTATATGCTCCTAAATATTTAAAGACAACTCTGCTCAGAAGTGGTTCACTGAGCGGCACACCCAGTATGTCTCACACCAGACCAGTCACCTCCTCTTTCTCTCCGTTTCTCCTCCTATAGGTTCATGAAAGGCTGATCATTCCTTCACTCAGGTCAGGAACACGGGAATCATCCTCGACCCTTCCCCTCAATCAGCCCTCTTTCCTGCAAATTATTTCCAATTCCAATCTTCAGGGGTCGATCCTGCCTCTCCAGCCCTTCTATGATAGGAAAAGATAGGCAAAATAGGTGGAGAGAGAAAGCATAGGACCTGAGGTCCCAGGGTGGGGAAAAACACGTGTTCTGAAACAATGATGGGAGTTTCTGACTGCAGCAAACCTCCTCAAGCGTAAGGTTCCTCTAAGACTGTAACAGACCCCACCTACTCCCCCTCAGGTTCCCTCAGGAATTGGACAAAAGACCTGACTAAAGATAAGTAGGAGACCATAGAATGCATGACCCACAAGGAATAATGATATGGCCGTAGACCCCTCATACAATGGAAACGAGCCAATCAGGAATGGACAACCCAGCACCCTGAGCTATCAAAAAGTGTAGAAACTGAGAAGGAACAAGGAGGGGAGGAAGAGAGGGCTGGCCAGAACCTTATAAAACAAGGACACTTGCCTATAGCTGCCCGGCATTCACTTTCAAATCCTGCCTCTCTGTAAAGAGAGCTTTTTCATACTATTCTTCCTTTCTGATCTTATACTCTAATAAACTTCTGCCTGCTGTTCATTCTGTGTCCACCTCTTCATTCTTCGAAGCAGTGAGACAACGAATACCAGGCATTGCGGAAAATCCCGCAACACTTCCACGGTAGCTGAAGCTTCCGGCCTCCAGCCAGTCGGTACACCCGTCCCTTGCCTAGTCTCCCATCTCCTCACTGGACTGCTTTTTTCAAATCTGGATTTGACCATGTGACTCTTCTGCTTAGAATTTTTCAGCGGCCTCCGGCCACTGTTAGGCCCAGATTCTAATTTTTAAACATCATGTATGGGACACTCGAGGAGGTGACGCCGGCCCATTTTCCCACTTGTCTTATTACACCTATGTATTATGGCGCACTGTCTTCGGGGCAGGCACTGTATTGTTCGAGTACCTTCCTCACCCAGGGCAGAACCTGTACCTTTGTAATTGCTCAATATGCATTTCTTGCATAAATGGTGAAATCTGTAACAATAACATTTATATTAGGTACTTATTTTTTAAGAAATTCTTTAGTGTTTATTTTTGAGAGAGAGAGTGTAAGTGGAGGAGGGACAGAGGATCTGAAACAGGCTCTGTGGTGACAGCAGACAGACCGATGTGGGGCTCGAACTCACAGACTGAAATCATGACCTGAGCCAAGGTCGGACACTTAACAGACTGAGCCGCCCAGGCGCTCCTCATGTTAGGCATTTATGAACATAAGCTAAGACCTCTAGTGCTGCCACACTGAAGCTGGTTATGTGTCTCACTGATCACGTTAGAAAATGCTGGGTGACCAGAGGAGGCAAGAGTGAAAGTCGGTACAGATGCAGTGGAGTGAAACCATCCCCACTGCTAGGCCAGTCCACACTGGGATGAGTTACAAGTGTTAGCTCCATCTGTGGAGACACAGGAGCAGAAGAAACACCGATGCTCACTCGTCTCCATTTTGAATAACATGACTATCATCATAAAACATAATATTAACTTTTTTTTTTCTTGGCATGGTAGGACAGAAAAAAATTGTTAATGGAACCAGTCAGTGAAACGGCCTTCAAGTACTGTTGGGCAGGAAATTGTACTCTGATGAATTTTATAAGCGATTCCTTCATAAATGCATCAAATTGTGCTACGCATATTTATTCTGTCATACTGCTAGAATCACATGCTACATGATTTCAAGTACAAATCTGAGTTTGAAGAGAAAGGTGAAACTTACTGAAGGAGTAACGGTTACAAAAACAACGTTTTAAAAACATCTGGTATTCAAAATGATGGGCTTCTAGAATCAGAATGATCGATCCTTAGGACTTTTTACATCCTTGTTGATAGCAAAGCACTTATAAACTTACAAATATAAACAAAAAGTGCCAAAATTCAAACTACTGGACAACTGGCTTTTCGACAACAAATCCTAATCTTCAATACTCCCAGGTCCTAACTGAAGTACTAATATATATGAGGAGAAGGATGCTGAAGAATACAGTATCTTTAGTTCTACCACATCACAACAGCTCTCAGAACTCATCAGCTCTCAGGCCTTCCCTTATGTAAAACCCTCTAGGGCAGTGTGAACTTGGGAGCCGGCACGCAAGGAGCAGCCTCAGCTCTACAGGTACCACCTGTCAGCTCTCGGATCTCGACCTGCCTTGCTGTGTCTCAGTTTTCTCATATGTAAAATGGAAATAACAGCATGTCTATATTTAGGCTACGGAAAGTATTAAATGAGTCAATTAATGTAATTAGAGCATCCAACTTTGGCTTAGGTCATGATCTCACAGTTCATGGGTTCAAGCCCTGCGTCGGGCTCTGTGCTGACAGCTCAGAGCCTGGAGCCTGCTTCGGATTCTGCGTCTTCCTCTCTCTCTGCCCCTCCCCTGCTTGTGCCCTGTCTCTCTCTGTTTCTTGAAAATAAATAAATAAATGTTAAAAAAAATTTAAATAAATAAATACGTGATTGTGAATTTTTAACAAGCAATATTAAGACAGTAGAACTTAGTCTTAGAATTATCAGGGAAGGCAAAGGAATCATCAGCCTGAGTCTAAGGGCCAGGAAAAAGTGAACAAATCGCTAGCATGTTGCAGAGGGTCCTGAATTAAAGTTTCCACCGAATAACAGATTTTAAAGACTAGAAGGTAAGGAGAATTGAAAAGTAAGGAGACAGGCACTATGATCAGTGTTCCTGCAGTTTCTGTAATCACACAGATAATTAAACCATTACAAAAGCAGTCAGCTTATGCTATAAAAAGATCATGAATATAGAGTTTTAACTATTATTTCTTTTGTAAGATTGAATAAAAGAAGTTGTAATATAAAATAAGGCTATGAAAATAATGGGAAACAGGCAAACCAAGTGCAATCATTAAAAATCACTATTGTTAACTCTTGGTCTCACAGTCTCTGTGGCAAGGTCAAACTATAACTGGGCAGTGGGTCAATCAAATTTTTATGACACCAAATTACAGGTTACAACCTCTTGACTGGGTCTTTCCGGACTTTACTTCTCTTGATCCACCTCGAAGATCAGGCTAATCAATTACTAAACAAAAATAGCCAAGGTCACCATTTATTGGGAGCTCACTGTAGGTCAGAAAGTGTGCATATTAATCAAATCTTCATTTTTATGTGCTTCCGTTGTTAAATGTTAAATATCTCCGTTGTTAAACGTTAACTATCTCATCTAAAAAAGCACCTGATTCCTGCACCCCAACCATGTGGATTTTATATGTATTTTCCAAGGAAATTCTTGGGCTTAGCTTATAAAACATGGAAATAAAAGCACAGACATTTCTGGCCCTAAAATGGTATTACCTTATATATCTTTGCTAAAGGCAGGTCAATATTAAAAAAATATGAAGTGTAACTAGGAAAAAAGCCAATGTTGTAAAAACTCACTATTTTTAAAAATACTTACAAAACAATTTTCTTTCAAGGCATGGACAGTAATCATAATGCTAATTCGGTAACCCTGCTCTGCCTCATCAAGACAGAAACAAGGCACTCCGTGAGGCATCACTCAACAATAAGGAGGAAATCACAAAAGTGGATAGAAACATCAACTCTCCCTGCTCTGTGCACCTTTCCTAAATACAAAATACGCACACCTGCCCAGTAGTCATCATGTAAAAGGCCGACTTCTCTGTGAATTTCTATTCTCATTCACATTATAATACCAACAACTCAATTCCCTTCAGCATTTGCAAATGTTATTATAAATACACGTGGTATGACAACTGTCCAAACCCAAAACATCCCAGTCGTTAAATAAGCAAAGATGAGCTGGGGTATTAACTAAATATATTCTTTGATTAGAAAAGTTCTTTTTTTTTCCTTGAAATTTACAATTCCATAGATTCTGGCAGTTATAATTACTTCTACCAAAATCAATAATGGCAACACACACCATTGCTATAAAATCCACATTAAGCCCAATGTAAAAAATAGGAGCAAAAATTCAACCAATAAGTGACACAAAAAGAAAGAAAATGGAAATAAAGCACAGAAACAAGAAGACGGACCCTTGGGAAAGAGGTCCTGGAAATGCCCTCTCTTAACCAAACATGTTTTTCCCTCTCTGAGAGCAGGAGGCTTGTACGTTAATTTCCGATTGCAGGTAGAGTTAATGTCATCATCTCTAACATGCATTTGAAAGCACAGGCCTTGGTTGAGATGCTGTTTCCATTCTCTAAATTCACTGCTGACGACAGGGGCATGTGGCAGAAGGGAGGGAAGACTACAGAAATGGGCTAACGCGGTTGGCTGTAAAAGAGGACTTTGGGAACTGACACGGCCTGGGCAGCCGGGATTGCCCCGGGGACACCGCGATGCTCTCAAGGAAATGGCGGAACAAGAGGAAAGTCACAAGGTTATGCGCTATTAAACTTTCATCTTAAAGGCAATTCTGATTCCATATCCTCCATCAATTAGCCTGTCAATAAAAACAACAACAACAACAACAACAACAACAACTCCACCCCACCTGTTACTATGACTACTACCGACTACAATGGCAGATCATTAATACTCCTCATGTCCCAGCTCAAGAAACATGAACTAGACTGAATCTAACATGTATTTCCCTTACTTTGGCTCAACTGATCAAAACACAGACAATTTTAAATTTGGGATAATGAAACCTTCTTTCAGGAGTTTTACTCTTCACACAGACTGGTTTCATGCAGCTACTGTGAATATCAACAGTCCATTTTAAATTAAACAGAAAAGGAAAAGGCAACACATCTAACAAAATGTCCTACCTGGTGGTACTTCCTGTTGTTCTTCTGCAGGGGGCACATGTGCTTCTACAATAAATAATGAGATCACAATCCATTACATATTGCTGACCAGTGTTAAGTTACAGTGATTATTTTTACAGACATTTTTGTGATTCGATTGCAATTATCACAAAAAACATCAGGTTTTCAGGCTGTTACAACAAAGAAGCATTAGCTATACAAAACGTCATATACTCTGCCAGTGTTCTGCAAAGCAGGCTCTACATTATCTGCCCAACTGTCGAACCTCAAAACTCACTGCCCGGGCAAAGGAGATATGAACTCAAACTTAGGTTTTTGTCACAATTTTGCATCAGACTTGAAAAGAAAGCTGAGGAAAGACGCTCAGAGCCTCTCGTTAAAAAGTTTTTAACACATAACCCTAATTGTAATGTGAATGAAACAACATGAAGGAGTTGAAACAGAAACCTAAAAGTCAATCACTAGCTTTAATAAAGGTTTTGAAAAAGAATATTCAAGTTAACATATTCTAAGACTAGCCAAAAATGTGGATATGACTTTTTTTTAACATCTTGCCTTTCCTGGCTGCTTCAACCCACTTGCAACTAAAGAGACTGTAGACCTTATCATCTAACGGTACAATCATACATTGATCTGCTTCATTCTATAAAATTACATCATGTACTAAGATCTTCATATCTAACAACTCACCGATCATTACCTTAATCTAGAGATAAGATTATATCAGCTTTCCTTTTGCTGCTGAAGACTTGTAACAGACTTGGGTCAAAAGGAAGAATTTTTAATAGCTTTTTCTAAAACTCATGTATTTATGCATCTATTTTAATCATTTTTCTTCTTATATTATTTATCTTCTAATTTTAAGAAGAATGCATGACCAAATGGCAGATTTGGAAATACTTTACATAAAAGGAAAAAAGGGAAAAAAAATTTCACCTATTCCCCTTAATCACTGTTAATATTCTGGCATATTTCTTTGTTTCAGTGGCAGTACTAGCTTTCCATGTCGTGACTAGCTTGTTAAGGTTTGCAGCACTTTATCAACTGTTAATATTCTTTCTCTCTCTGAATTTCTTTTACTTGTCATTTTAGGTTTAAAAAAATTGTAAGTATGAAGAGCTTCCACTGTTATTTCCATCACTGATGTTATACTATGAAAGCCTTATTACTGCAATATAAATTAAATTTTCAACCAATTTTATTCTGAAAAAAATGTACATTTAACAAATGTACAAATTACAAACAAATGACCTGAAATCTATTTGGGTAATGATGTAAAAGAGAGGATTTTGAAAAAGGAAATACCTAACTAATTACACCAGCATAACCTGATTTTCTTTCTTTATTCCAGGACTTTTTAAACCCACTCCAGTATGGCTTTCAACTCCCATCCATTTACTCAAATAGCTTTATCTATAATCACCAATAATCTCTATATTCCCAAATGCAATTGATACTTGTCAGTCCCCAAATTCCAATGGCAATAGCATGAAACATATTCCCTTTCTTTCTGCTCTTTAACATTCTTTTCTAATGATTTTCCTCATGTCTCACTGGTTGTTCATGCTCCATCAAACCTCAAAATGTTGGGATTCCCTGGAACTCAGTCCTGGGATTGCTTGTCTACTCTCGCTATACTCACAAAATTTTATCAGTTTTCATGGAGTTAGTACCATCTTCATGATGATGGCTCCCAAACACCTATATCATCAGTCTCACATCTCGCCCATCCAGTTCAGATTGGCATATCCAACCCCCTCCTTGATATCTCCATCTGGGAATCTTACATCATTCCTCAACTTAAAATGTCCACTATGAAGCCTTGATTTCCTCCCCTACACCAATTCCTTCTATATCCTAGTTTTCTTCTCAGTAGATGGCCCCATCATCCAACAGTTTTTCAAACCAAACCAAAGGCTCCCTTTATTCCTCTTTCCTTCACAATCATCAGAAAGTTCCATCAGTTGTGATTCAAAAATACGTCTCAAATTCTCCACTTTCCCTTCCATTTCCACTGCTGGGACATTACTCCAGGCCACCATGATCACCTCCCAGATTGGTACCCAATCATTGCCTAACACAGTGGTTCCTGCTCTGGTGCTTGTTCCATCCATTCAATTAACTAGGAGTGGAAGTAATTCTTTAAAACATAAGTCACATTATGTCATACCTCTTTTAAGTATTTCCCCAGATTCCTACTGTACTTGGAATATAATCCAAATTCCTCACTACGTTCTCCAAGTTCACAACAGACCTGTCACCTGTCTCTTTAATGCTTAAGCCAATTCAAGTTTAGTTTTCTGTTACCTGTAACAGGAAGTACCCTTAATGACACAGATGGGGAAGAAAAGAGGGTTTAGGCACAGGATTGATACAGCCAAACCTGTACTTTTGAGATCACCCTAATGGCATCATGACAGATCTGAAGGGGACAAATGTGGAAGTGAGAAGATGGGCTAGAAGGGCTACCACTTATTGTCCAGGAAGGTGATGAGGGCTCAACTACATCACTAAAGCCACAGAGAAAAGAATGGATTTGAGAAGCCCATTCAACAGGACTTGGGATTAGCTACAGAAATGGAGGGAGTGTCAATGATGACACTCACATTTCTGGTTTGGGAATGCAAGTATATATTGATGCATTCAGCCAAGTCAGGGAAGAGGAGTAAAGAGAAGGTTGGTGGGTGTGTGAAGATGATGAGTTCATTCTTTTTTTTTTTTAATGTTTATTTACTCTTGAGAGAGAGACAGAGCATGAACAGGAGAGGGGCAGAGAGAGAGGGAGAAACAGAATCCGAAGCAGGCTCCAGGCTGTGAGCTGTCAGCACAGAGGACACCCAGCACAGGACTTGAACCCATAAACTGTGAGATCATGACCTGGGCCGAAGTCAGACGCTTAACCGACTGAGCCACCCAGGAGTTCCAAGATGATGGGTTCATTCTCTGTCCATTCAGGTTCCACAGGAGCACAGAAACTACAGGCTGGGGTAAAGGTGCACAGTCCAGAGCCCCACTACCCCCAGAAGGAACTCCCTTAGCAGTCCCTGCCATGTCCTCTCCTGGTTTATCAAAATGCCTGAAACGTCTCTGGAAAGACTGTACTTCTAATACAGGAACGGCAGGGCCAACATGCATATTGTGATGCTTTGTCTCCTATATAAAACAATATATGTGGGGTGGGATGGATAAAGTTCTTCCTAGGGATGTGGGGTTTCCATTTGCTGATTCTAACTGAATAAAAACCAGACTCGGCTATGTCCTTCAGAGAGAACAGAGTAATCGGAGGGAGGAGCAAATCTGAAGGCAACCCAGCCTGCCACGTGGAGATGAATTTGCGTGTACGCAGTGCCTCCACAGCAGGTGGGTGAACAACGAGGGCAATTCTCGTATCTCCACGTTGCCTCCACCCCTCCCTATCTTCTCCCATTTCAGTCAACTGTACTATTAGAGATGCTGCCTAACCAAGCTCAAGTGCCGTAACATTTCATCTGAAAACTGACAATCAGTGGCTCACGAATGAATTCTAAGACTAACTTGTAAAAATTCCCCGTTACATGTTCCCGTTGGCAACTTCCTGCCGTTCAAGCCCATGGACTCCAGAGTCTACTACAGGCCCCACGCCTAGGTCAAATACCAGCTTAGCGACTTCCAGCCTGACGTGGAGCCAGCCACTGACCTCCCTCCCATGTCAGCCCTTCACTTATTAAAAAAGCACAAAGATATTTATCCCACCTCCTCCTCAGCGTCCACTGTAAGGAACTGCAATAACATATGTGAAAGAACTTTGCGAACTGTTGGAATCTCTGTAACTCTAGCTGGCGTCAAGGCACCACCGTGTAATATATGCATCAATTCTACTTTTTCAGAAACAATCCCTTCACTTTCCAAAAGAGTCTGTCCAGCTGTACAGCAACATAAAGGACCCAACTTTCAACCCATCCCTGCCCAAGGCTAACCCCTTCTGAACAAATCACCTCCCCTATTTAGACTAACCCTCCTCATTTTCTGTTGTGCTATCCTGTTTTTTATTTCTGTTGTTGCACTTTTCATAACCTTTGCCTACTTTATCACGTTTGACCACCAGAATGCCAACCCCAGAAAATAGAAATTCTGTCCATTTTCAGGCTGGTCCTCCTAGCCCCGAGCACCATATAGACAGCCAAGTGTTCAAGGCACACTTGTTGAATACATGAACGTAATTTTAATACAAAAAGTAAAGCGATCTCTGTAAAACTTACCTTCTAAAATTACGTTTGAATCTTCCACAGCGTTATCTTAAAAAAAACACAAACACACATTTTACATTAACTCACACTACATCCCTAAATTAGCTTATCTCTACTCAGATACCTAAATTTGGCTAATTTTAGAATGGGGCTTCTTATATAGAGAGACTCACAAGTATTTATATTAGCATATCAACTTTAATCCCTAAATTACATTAGAAGAATATACCAAATAGGCTAATATCATTCCTGATGACATAAAACTTGCCATAAATAGGAAACAAATACATTGGCAATATCCAATTACTCCCTTGGAGACTTGAAAATATATTTCTTTTTTAAAATTTTTAAAGGTTTATTTATTTTTGAGAGAGAGAGAGACAGACAGACAGAGCATGAGTGGGGGAGGGGCAGAGAAAGAGGGAGACACAGATTCCGAAGCAGCCTCCAGGGTCTGAGCTGTCAGCCTAGAGCCTGACACAGGGCTCAAACCCATGAGCTGTGAGATCATGACCTGAGCTGAAGTCGGACGCTTGACCGACTGAGCCACCCAGGCGCCCCAAAAATGTATTTCTTACTACATCTGTCTTTGTTCTACAAGTTATCTGAGATTTGATAAATATAAGGGGGGTGGGGCTGACTTGTAGGAAACACCTGTTTAGAGAAAAAGCTTACCTGAACTTTCTATCCCTTCATTTTCTGACGGCTCGTATACTAGAAAATACACAGAAAAAATAATCCTTTAGGACTACATAACTCTCACTATAAGACAACAGTCATTGTATGGTATCGAGAGCAGAGACAATGTCTAACTCGTCCTTGAGCCCCTAGGGCTTAATCACTGGGAAGCGGCAGGCTGCAGAGGAGGGTAGGGAAGGGTTTCTAGCCAGAGGAGATGGGCAATTACATAAGCTTTCTTCACATAAAAGGGGGGACATTAAGGTTCTTCCCAATCACTGGTGGTATCACCAAGATCCAAAAGTCGTTTACTTCCTGACGGCACTCTCTTCTCCATTTTTTTCATGTCTTTTCCCTTTGTTTGGGGAACAACTCTCAGACCTTCCATGGGGGCAGAGGGCAAACACTCCCGGTGCCAGCCCCTCCGAGCGAGGGTTCAGCGGGCAGGCCCTGAACTCACTGCCTCCCTCCTCCTCCTGTTCACCTGCATGGGGCTCAGTGGCTCTCAGCTCTGCTGCAAAGGAGGCTCGGCCACTTCTCTCGGGCTCAGCTGGGTCACAGCCTTTTCAGTCAAGCTTTTTCCAGCTTTTTCCTTTCTCCAAAATGCCTCAAATTTTCTGGTTCACTGAGAATGAGCTTCCTTATTTTCTACCATTTTCTACTATTTTCTTTATTCCTTTTGACCATCTACTATAGAAAAATTTCTGAGTACCTACTATCTTTCAGATAGTACTCTCAGTGCTGGGGTAGAGTAAGGGATGCCAATTTTTAATACATCACCTCCTGTCCTCCTGGTGGTATTTGTAGGGCAAAGGAGCCGTGAACGTTCGCTTGCTTTGTCACTTTGAACTGTGTTGATATTTAACCATGCTCCAGTCTCCACCAACTTAGAAAAAAAGCGCTTACTTGAGCCCCTTCCCCTCCGTTCCCTCTCTTCCCTCCATTTCACCATCTCATTTCTTCAAAGAATCATTTACATTTGCTGTCTCATCCCTCACTGCCTTCCTCAACGAGGTCTTGGGCCCTGACTCACCCCTGAAAGGCTCTTCCAAGACCACCAGTGAGCACCTCATTCCATCTAATGGACACGTTCTACCCTCTCCAGGTTAGATCTCTCAGCTACTGTCCCTGGACTTCAGTGTGACCATGTTCTCCTTTTATTCTTTCCTTTCTCCTTCTCAATCTTCTTCATCAATTATCCTTGTCCTACTCGGCATTCAGTGCTGGCTTTCATCAAAGGTCACCCACAGAGCCTCCCATCTCCCCACACCGTCCTCCCTCCATAAGTGACCTCAGCCTTCGGCTTTGATGACCTTTTATAGACTCATGATTCCCAAACTCACTACTACAAATTAGAGGTCTCTGCTGAGATCAAAGCACCATCAATAGGCTTATTAGATACTCCCCCAGATATCTTGACATATACTATCAACACATACAGACTGGACTCGTGGCCTCTTGGTCCGTTCCTATTTTCCAGTCTCACCTGTCTTAGGAATACAGCACCGCCATCCATCAAGGGCACAAGCCAGAATGGTGGATGGGGCTCCTGACACCTTGCTCTCCTCCCCCAGCTATACCCACACAACATTCCTTGTCAATTTTATCTCCTTACATGTCTCAGCTTGTCCACTTCCCTTCACTGCCATCACCCTGGTTAAAACTTCACTGCCATCACCCTGGTTTCTGTCTGTCCATGTTCACCTGTGTCCATGGAAAATGGCTCCTGCCGAGGTCACTGGGAGGCTGCTGCAGTACTAGTTCCGATGCATGTTTTCTCAGTGCTCACCTCGTGTGGGTCTCCAGCAGCACGAGATGCTGCTGACCATCCCTTCCCTATAACTCATCTCTTCTGACTCCTCTTTTGGCAGAGATGTGACTCAGGGCAAGATCAGATTGGGATAATTGCACACTAAACTAACCGGTCCCCCATATCCACTCTTGTCTCTCTCCAGTCTATTTGCTGCATGTCAGACTGATCAATCTTTACAAAATGCGCATCCGATTCTACAGTGCCTTGAACAATGCCCTACGGGAAGGTGACCATCCCTGATTACTGATAGGCACTCTCTGCAGCCGGGACATATTGCAATCTCAGCCTGTGTCCCTTACTGCCAGCACTCCAGACACCTCGGATGCTTCCTATGGCACTCTAGTTACCTGCCCCTTCCCTTGTCAAAGGCTCTAATCTTCACCTCAAACTTCAAGGAAGCCTTTCCTGGCCCGCTAACGAGGTAGGTCTCTTCACTATATGCTCTTGTTACACACCATACTTGTTCTTAGCAGCACTTAGCACAATTGCAACAAAATACTAAATTGAAGTTATTTGTTTAATTTCTACTCCCCGCTAAAATATAGGGTCCATAGTTATATGGAGCATGGGTGTGTTCTTCACCAGAACTGCTCCAGTGTCCTATGTTCTAGACATAAGGCAGTTAATACATATGCAGGATATGAATCAATCAATCAGATGGTAAGATGTCATTTCTTAGGTATATCTGATATAGGCTTGATGCTTTCTAAATGTTTTTATGTGGACAGCTGGGTCCCTCCCCAGCTTTCATAAGCCACAGGGTCTAGATGTGGGGAGTTTAATACACAATGTATTCTGGGTTCCCAATGAAAAATGATTTTGTTTTCACCCTACTTACAGCTTCAGTTACACATGTTTATTTGGTTTCCCTAGTCTGGTTCCTGAATGACAAAGGTATCTTTCTAGAACAGCGAATAATCTTCTATTCTATTAAATCCATTGTTTGAAAAGTTTACGTTCTATAGCCAGGTAATCCAAAGTATCTCACCAAATCTTGATGACCTCTTAGGTCATACTTATTACTTTTTCTTACCATTTTAAATTATACTCATTCTGATATTCTGCCTAAGAAAATACATGTATTGTTATAGCATTCTCATCAGCATGATATATAATTTTACACTTCTTTCAAGTTTGATTTTAAGGGTCTCTGGATCTAGTCTGCAAAATGCCTTCCAAACATGTTCCTTCTACCATATTTAGAAAAACACTATAATGAGTGGCAGAAATTAGAAAAGTATCTCAAGTCACATCTCTACATGTAACTTTTAATTTCCAAATTCCTATTTTCTCCTTCAAATTCAAAACTGAAAAGAAAATATAAATGCAATCATAGCAGCCAAGTTATTTAATTTCTAATAAAAATATTAGTTCTTAAAGACAGAACCCAGCATTCTTCCAGTGGCATCATCCATATCCCATTAGAAATAGCCACTGTGAATGGTCATCTTAGTAGGACCTCAAACCTTTAATACATATGCTTAATAAATTAGCCTATCAGGTTTATACACAGCTGTTCCTAGTTTTCTTCAACTGAGAATCACCAATTATCACGAGACCACAAATTTCTTGAGAGTAGGGACTCTCTGTTGATCATATTTAAATGCTAAGCCCCCAAACTGTCCAGCACATGGAAAGTCCTCCATGTTTTGAGCACTGTACATTTCTTTATCGTCTTGGTTATACTCCACTGACTTCTTTCCTTTGATAGAGCCATCCTTGAAGGTGGTGGAATAAAAATCGTCCGCCCCTGGTTTTATCATTTCTTATTCACCATGAACTTAGGCAAATCATTTACATTCTCTGACCCTTATTTCTTTCATCTGGGAAGTAGCAAAAATAGAGTCTACTTCATGGAGTTTAATGAAACAGCATGGGAAGTGTGGGGGCAACAGAAGCAGCGACAACGGCCTAAATCCGACTCCAGTGCTACTCGCACCACAAACGTGCCCGGACTCTTCTCTTCATACCACTGCTAAGCCTGCAATGAAATTTTTTTGTACCTTTCTCATGCTAGTAGATCCGTCACTCTAAGAATGGGATCACTTGGTAGAGGCAGCTAGAGGAGTTAAACTCTGACTAGTTTTCCATGCACAAGACGTACTTTCGTCAAAAGACAGCTATGACTATAAAGTAATATAATATAAAGTAATGAGGTAAGTTTTCATGCATAATTTTTAACTGCTTCCTAGGGCGACTTTGCAAAGGGTTTAAGAAATTATTTAGTCAATGGCAGAATTACTGGAGGGGGTAAATGGTGTCCCCAAGTAAATTCTTTGAAAACTACCATTCATTTGGGTATTTTAAGTTGTGGTATTTGCAGCTTAAAACATTATTCTCCACACTCTACAGTCAAGCTTGGACTTTATTTTAAAACAAGAAGATGGCTTAAGGTTAAGAAGTGTTTTCACGAATCTGAGGAGAAAGAATGAAGTATGGCCCTTTGTAGCAACGTGGATGGAACTGGAGAGTGTTATGCTAAGTGAAATAAGTCATACAGAGAAAGACAGATACCGTATGTTTTCACTCTTACGTGGATCCTGAGAAACTTGACAGAAGACCACGGCAGTGGGGGGCGGGGAGGGGAAAAAAAAAGTTAGAGAGGGAAGGAAGCAAACCATAAGAGACTCTTAAAGACTGAGAATAAACTGATGGTTGATGGGGGGGTGGGAGGGAGCGGAAAGCAGGCGATGGGCATCTAGGAGGTCACCTGTTGGGATGAGCACTGGGTGTTGTATGGAAACCAACTTGACAAAATAAACACTCAGCCAGAGGAAAAAAAAATTTAAAAAAAAGAAGTGTTTTCAAACCTGGTTCATCATAGTCTTGGTATGTAATGTCATCTGCAAAAAAAGAGAATAAAATCAAAGTAAGTATTAAATGAGTCATTCAGTGTCAGTGCTTAGCTAAAAAACACAACTTAATCTCAAACACGGAATTCTATTCCTTGCAATATTAATGTCTGCAGTCAGTGATCAGTGCCTCTGCCCAAAAACGAGACAAAATGACAAGTACATTATTTTCATAAAAATCCGTCAAACCGGCAGAAAGCACAATACGCAAAAAGGAGCATTAATGATTAACATCCTATTTTGCGGTGCCAGTGTGGGTGAGGCAAAATATGAAAGCCTGATATATTTTTAATCATCTAATCTCATTACAAAGCAAAAAGACTTGTATTAGGTGTGAAAATTACTCCTCTGACACCTTTGAAAGAAAAATCACCGTGTTACCACAGCACTGCAACTGTAAAGCCTGAAGAGATGTTTACCGTTAATGAAAATATTCATCTGATACCTGCATCGTGGTATGTTCTCTCCTCGCCGCCTGCTACTGGTTCCATGGGATCTAAAAGGAAAAAACACACACCTCTGCCAAACATGAAAAAACCGAACACATTACCAGACACCATTCTAAGGTATTTACAGATTAATTCTCATCTTCACAACTGTGTAAGATAGGTATTCTCATTATCATTCAACAAAGTTTAAGCCAAATAAAGTTCCATAATTTGCCTCATCACAAATGGGAAGGAGCAGAACCAGCCCGGCTCTACCACACCACACTGCCTCGTTAACGTCCCAGTATCCTTTCCAGCGTCCTGTCTACAAAGAGCAGAATCCCAACGATGGTTTGAAACACACATCTCCTTGTTTCCTCATTCGTGCAGGTAATATTAAACTATGTTCAGAAATTTCCATAAATGTCTGGGCAATCAAGAATTGTTATGAGTATTACAAAGAGCACTCGGAGTTGAATCAGAGTGAATCATTAAGCCTGGGGGAAAATGGCGTTGGCCAGTGCTTCACACAGAAACACATATCACAAACCTGGATTGTCCTGTTCGTACATCATCTCCTCCATATCCTGGTTATAGACCTGTGAAGCTATAAATTAAGAAATGATGAGGAAACTTCAAATGTGTCTAAAGAAGGATTACCCTTGATATTCAAAATAGGAAAAGCACAATATCTAGTAATGACAGAAGTATAAAATCACCTTATAACGATGCTCCCATTTATATTCACTCATGGAACACCCAGGTACTACCTTTGCTAGATGCCTAATAGAAAGCTGAATAAGACAGGACCCATCATCAATGGGTTTCTAATCGAACCAAAATGGTGAAGCTAATATTCTCACTTAAATTATGCATATCAACTGTATTCAGCAAAAGACTAATGAGGCAGAGACAGACAGACAGACAGACAGAGACCACAGACCTAGCAGTACAGGTGAGCCTTCCTCCCGTGCACTCAGCAAGAACCTGCCGCAGAGTGTGCCTGAATAGGGATACAAACATTTCCTAGCCCCTTACACTTGAACTTAAGACCTGAGTACTCCCAGACTGCAATATAATTCTAGTATTTACAGATTTATATTGTTGAGCAATATAGGTCCTAAGTGACAGCCAACAATATGACATGGTCCTCAAGCACAGAAATAGGGATCTACTTCAACACTGGAAGAAAAACTGGCCAACACAGGCTTACCAAAAGATGCCCATCTCCAATACGGCCATATCTTCTGGGCACGTGTGACCAGTGACATTACACAATTCTGACCTTTCATGGACTTTGTAACTTAAGATTACAAAACATGTACTTCTATTGTATCTTCTGACCTAGTAATCCCACTACTGGGAATTTATCCTCAGGAAACAGACTTCAAGAGCACAAAAACTAGATTCACAAAGAAACATATATATGAAATTATGATACAATACATATATGCTATATATAACAATTAGCTATATATATATTGCACATATTTTATGATATATTACAAAATACAATAATAATTATAGATAATACATTCTCTCATGATGTTCTTTTACAGGAAAAGACTCATTCTAATAAAAAAAAAAAGAATAGTATTAAGTTTAAATCTCACCTGTTTCTTCTACATGGTAACTATCTTCAATTTCTGGAAAGAAGAACATCAAATCAATAGTGCTACTTTCATAAAACTGTACGTATATATTCCGCAGATGTATATTCTGAATCTATGCTTATCATTGATTTTATTTTGAAAGTAAATATTAAAATAGAACACGAAAATACCTATTAACTGTCTGCTAAACACTTTATCTTTCACAAGAACTACACTTAGAAACGCCTACATTTTCTCTTCAATCCACTCAATACCACCATAACCTGGACTAATGAGGAGACAGAAAAACACAGGGACAAGGATGGACCCAGGAAAGGGGCGAATTCCTAGTCTACTTCACATTTCACTGTGGTGTCCTATTTTCTAGAGCAAAAGCACACTGTCTACAGATGGGAACATAAGGAAGAACGGAGGAGACTTTCTAAGACGGGGAGCTGAAGGGCAACTGTGTTCCTAACTGAACCCTCACACCCCCAATAGCAAAGTGCTACCAACACAGGGTCCTCACTACTCCTGTGACCCTTGTTAATGCGACAACTACACAAGGTATAAATATTTTTAATTTCGGAAGACTTTTAATAAACAACTTTTAAGTTCACACTGAATCTATGTTCCAAATTAAGATAGAGTCAGAAAGTAAGGTTTTCTCAATTTATAAACTTTTTAGAAGTATTTCTTTCTACCCCCAATCTATAACTCCTAACCTCAAAAATCTCAAGTTCCTTATGTTTCAGATTATTTGAGTGTCTTAACTGAAATCTGTTATATAAGCAGCATCTAAGACAAGGACAAATTCCGAGGACCTGTTAATCTTCCTGAGTCATCTTGGCCAAAGACAGGAGGGAGCAACAGATACCAGGGAAATGTGGAAATCATTTTATCAGCATCCCTACTCAGCAGTTAGAAACACTGTTTGTTCCCAGAGAAATTTTAACAGACGTGACAACTAAAGGTCCAAAGTTCTAAAGCTGGTCTATAAATGCCTATTCTTGATGCACAGTGCGGCTGAATTCAAATACAAGCTCAAAAGCATTTTGAGTGTACATTTTTCACAGAAAATTATGTGTTATATACAATTTTGCAGGTTGGTATGGAAACCAAACCATCACTGGTAACATTACTTCTATGGAAAAGTGTATTTCCAACCTTGACAATAGGCACGAATGTTAAGTTTCTGGAAATACATTCATTGATAAATCAAGAACTTCTTGCTTCTAAAGTAGTTTCCCAATACATTGAATGTTGTGAAAAGTAGATATACTTTACTTTTATGCTTTAAAAAAGTCCTAGGAACCATTTACCAATTGTATTGTGACCAGGCTATCCCTCCACTCAATTTTCAGCCTGGACAAGGGCTATGGCCCCACCTGGTTCCCACTGGCTATGAGCACAGGTGTGCAAGGCTGAGCTTGTTCATACCCAGCAGAACAGGATGTGAAAAAATAAACAGCCTGGCCACACTTTCACTCGCTCCCGGCTGTACTTTGATATGATCTGGCGACCTTTTACAATTATCCATTTTTGGGGCCCCATACCCCAAACATTACAATTCACTTTGTGTAGAGTGTGTCACAAGTATTCTTTTTAAAAGCTCTCTAGGTGATCTGAATTGCATCTAAGATTGAACACCATGGGTAGGCATATCAGTCAACCTTATGTGGAGCATATTCGCATTCTCTCTTTGAATCCACGGTTCTATGGCTATGGTTCTAGACCTTCCTACCTTGATTGCTGCTATGGATTTCATTTATTATTTGTTTCTCACAGTCTGCCTACCTGTTAAGACTCGATTTAGGCTTGGCTAATCCCTGAACCCTGCCAGACACCTCTGATCCAGATCCTCTGTGGCTTGTGGTCGTGTGTTGTTGCCTGGGTCCTAAAGCAACTCAACCACGGACTCTGATGGTTATTATATGGCGGGACATGATGCGCTATATGGTTGACTGGGGCGGGTGCTGTCGCCCTTTTTCTTCAGTTTGACTCTTCAGAAATGAAACATGCATCTTAAACGATGTTTCAGGGGATTCCTTTTAAGTATAAAATTATAGACATGCCATTATATCATTTGTATGTTCACATATGCTAAGTAAAACAACATCAATCAATCAGAGTACCACACTTATGGATTAAAATCTTTCAGGGCACTGGCTGGCTCAGTTGGTAGAGCATGTGACTCTTCATCTCACGGTCATGAGTTCAAGCCCCACATTGGGCATAGAGCTTAGTTAAAAAAAAAAAAAAA